TTAGGGGGGAGGGGGAAGAGGGAGAAGGGATTGACATGTGAAATTACAATTTTGTAAAAATTAAAAAAAGGGGGGGCTGGAGAGATGGCTCAGAGGTTAAGAGCACTGACTGTTCCTCCAGAGGTCCTGAGCTCAATTCCCAGCAACCACATGGTGGCTCACAACTGTCCCTTATGAGATCTGTTGCCCTCTTCTGGTGTGCAGATATACATGGAAGCAGAATGTTGTATACATAGTAAATAAATAAATCTTAAAAAAATTAAAAGACCAGGGAGTTACCCTATGAAATGACAGAAAAATTACAGAACACTAGAGAGGAGAAATGGGCAGACATTGCTAAGAATGAAAAGGAAATTCTGGACTTATTTAAATCACTAACTTGATACTTTGTCAACATAGCTATAGTTTAGGAAGACACAGAGTCATATTCTGAAGAAGAATTTATGACAGAAAATTTGCTTCACTCCTAAGTAGTTCTTTACCGTTGCAAAAGGCATTGGGATTTCGTTAAACTCACCTTCCTCAAGTCTTCAAAAACAATTTCAGAGTTTGTGCTTGTCTCAATCCTTGGTTCACTCCAGGGTAGGGAGGCAGCCATGTCCTAAAATCTTTCCACAGGGCACCAGAGCTGAGGCACTGAACTACTCAGACAAAGAGCATTCCCAGAGGATGAAAAGCACTTACAGGAACATGCTTAAGAAACGCCACCAGCTGTGTGTGAATACTAATTGGAGAGAATTTTGTTTTAGAAACAGCAGTTTGATGATGTGTTCCAGTAAGATTATCAATGACACCGACTAGATTTTGAAATGATCCTCAAGGAATATTAAAGTTCTGTAACAATAATGCTATAAATCAAAAGTAGAATCTTCTGGAAATTTAATATTATAAACTGAATGTCTCTGCATCTTTCACTCTCAAAGACCCGGGATCTTGACTGTGATGTTCATTACTACTTATGCATGTGTGTGAGGTGTGTGCATGTTGAATGTGCATGCCCATGCTCACACATGCAGAGGTCAGATATAGATATCAGGTGTCCCTGCTGTCTTATAGTCTTGAGACAGGTCTCTGGCTGAGGCTGAATCTCTTCAATACAGCTGTGCTGACCAGTTACTGAGCTCTCAGAATCTGTTGTCTCCACCTACTACTGTTGGGGTTACAGGCACAAGCAGTTAGGCTGCTTTTTTTTTTTTTTTAAATGACGGTGAACTCACCTCCTCACGCCTTTACAGCACATTTACGTACTCTGCTATCTCCTCAGCCCCTCTGACTATAGTGTTGTAATGAGTGACATTGGTGTTCATTCCAAGTACACCTCTACTTAGAAAGCAAGGCTAGCCTGTTCATATTTTTAAAAAATTTCTTATTAAGAGAAAAACCGTTTAAACTTGTAGCCTATGATCAGCACAAAAAATAATTCTAAGGATTCCGTTGTGGGTACAACCTCCTCCAAACACTGTGTCTTATGTGTTTTCTAAAGGCAGATCCTGAGAATTGATGTATTATGCCATTAGCTATTAAAGTCTCCATTCCCTTCACTAAAGGTCTCCTCTAAAGAGTGACAGTTAAAGCCAGCTGTAATAGGGGTCTAGAGAAAAACAAATGCATTGGGTTGTGGTTAAGGAACTGGCTCACTTTGGGGACTGCAAGTACTAATTTTAGGGCAGGCAAGCAGGATGGAGAGTCAAGGAAGAGCTGATATTCCAGCTTGAGGCTCATGGCTGTCCAGGAGCAGAATTCTCTTACTTCTGAGAATTCACGATTTTTCCTTTGCCTTTGAATGATTAGAATAGAACCACCAAAATCACGAAGTGCAATTTGCTTCACACCAAGTCTACTAATTTAAATATTAACTACATCTAAAAAAATGTTCAAAGGGACATCTAGACTGCTTGACCAGAGACCTGCTACCAAGCCTTGTCAAATTGACTAGTGAGTGACTCCATGATTTCTTTGTGGAATAGGACACAGTTGAAGTGAAGATATTTTGATGTTTTTTGTTTTAGATTGAAATTGTAAATACTTAACTACTTTTGCTCTAGGGGAAAAAATAGATAGCTCAGAATGGCTCAAAACAATGTTTGGGCCTTGGTTTCAATGAAGACACTGCCACTACCTGCCTCAGATACTTTACCAGACAACATGTTTCTCCTTTTAATCAAGCTGTCTTCTTTGGAGTTCCAGGAATGGCAAAGCAGTGTGCCCTTGTCCTTAGGGTGTGTATTGAGTAAATGTTACTTAAGAAGACCTGCAGCCTAGCTCAAGCTACACAACTACACTGAACTTTTCCTCCTAATGATGAGCCATGACTATGAATTTCTCATCTAGCTCTAAAGATGTGAAAATAAGAAAACTACAGATCTAATGATATTTTCACAGAGCTCATACCTAAAACAAACTAATCTTAAATGTCCTTTCTCAGAGTATTCTCCTCTTGGGTATTATAAAAAGCCACAATTTCTCTCTCTAAGTCATCCTTAAAGCACTTTACATTATCAGATTTACGTAGGAATGTATCTAGTGTTAATTCTAAGCGTTAATGTGGATACTTTCATATTTGTGGGCTAAGTGAAAAACTGAATTACAAACATGAGAGCCCCCATTTCCTTTACCTGGTCAAAGCCCATGGAAAAGTGATTGTAAGACACATCATGTTACTTCCATAACTGGCTTCTGGAAAGGTGTTAATTACATTTGCAGAATTGTCATCTTTACTGGAAGCTGCTTTCTTGACTACCATGTTTTTAGGTGAAATGATGATGCACGTGGTAACCATTCTGGCTTATTTGAATTGTCAAAACTTGATTTAGTAAAATTGGTAGTGAATCAACCAACCTCAGAGGAACTTGTGAAAAGATAATTCCTATGGCTGGGAATAATGTGCTAAAAGAAGTCTTGATGTCAATTTCATCTTTTTTAAAAAATAATTTGTTTAAGTTTATTTTATGTGCTTTGGTATAAAGGTGTTGGATCCCCTAGAACTGGAGTTGCAGACAGTTATAAGCTGCCATGTGGGTGCTGGGAATTGAATCTAGGTCCTCTAGAAGAAAAGTCAGTGCTCTTAACCACTGTTCCATCTCTCCAGCCCCGTCAATTCCATCTTAATGCAAATAACTACTCGAACAGCATTTGTGAATTCTAAACTCAGTTACATTCAGGTTTTGACATTTTGACTTTTTGTGTGTGTGTGAACCTAGAGGCCAAAGGAGGTTGATATTAGGGGCCTTCCTTAACTAATCCCCACTTCTGAGACAGTGTCTGTCACTGAACTTGGAGCACACTGATTGGCTAGACTGAGGACTAGTGAGCTCCAGGTTTTCTCCTGTCTCTGCTTGTTTTTTGGGATTGAAGTCAGGCTCTCAAGTTTGCCTAGCAGGTACTTCCCTGACTGAGCCAGCTCCCCAGCCCTTGAAGCTTTGAGTTTAAAAATAAAACACTCTGGGCCCTTCCTCTAAAAGCTCAAAAGTCTTTTAGAACTGTTTTGCTCACATGCATGTCTTTGCACCACATGTGTTCATGGTGCTTGTGGAGGTCCTAGAAGGGCACCAGATCCCCTAAAACTTGAATTATAGACAACTGTGAGCCACTGTTTGAGTGCTGGGAATGGAACCTGGCCCTCTGCAAGAAAAAGTAATCTTGACAGTTGAGCCATAGCTCCAGCCTCTCCCAAAGCTCCAAAGTCTCACATTTCCAGGAACCTGCAATTTCATTCATAAAACAAATGGCCTTCTGGGGGCTGCAGTTCCAGTCTGATATTAGCAAATAAAAAAAGATATGCAGTATTTGTAGGTGGCCCATGCTCCTCCATCCGTGAGTTAGTTATATGGACCACACAAAATGGACTCCAAGGGTTATTAAAAAACAAAAGGTCATGAAGTTGGGAGAGGGTGGGGAATGGTTCTGGGAAAAGTGAGGGGTAAATATGCTCAAATAATTATATATGTATGTAAATCCTCAAAGAATTAATATTGCCTATAAACAGTAGAAGAAACATGTTACAGTAAAGTGCCATCTGCGAGGATTGGGGAGGATCTGTATTATCTCCAGCATTCTGTACTTCTATTCATATATTCCGGGGAATTCATAAACCTTTTTCCTTACAACAGGTACCACTGCAGACCATAAAAAGCTGCAGTGATAACTAGGAGCGAGTGAGGATTTAGGCGTGGGTATCCTGACAAGCAGCAGCCTGCTTCTTGGATGTGAGTTTCTAAAGTACAGTATCACTGCAGTCTCATGATGTGAAGCTGCATTACAGAAGGCACGCACACAAAGATGACCTTTGTCTATATTTTATACAAATACAACAGTAGTTTGTGAATACATTTTAAGTACATGATATACACGATAAGCCACTTGATTTTCCAATATCACAGAATAGCAATTTAAAATGCAATAAAAATATACAAAATTCAGTCTGGAATGCAGATTTTTTCATTTCTATTTGACTCAAAACTTTACCATTAGAACATGTTTAGAGTACTAGTCCAAACACTTTTTCATTAGTTAAAAATACAATTTCAGCAGTCAGCTTATGTTCAGGCATGATGCAATCCATTTTCGAATGGATTCCCAGTTTTTGTTAAATTCAAAGGGCTGTTAGTAACCTACAGCATGTTCTTCACTCCACACCCTATGTCAAGCCCACTTTCCATTCTGAGTTACAGTCACCTTGTGGACAAAAGCTGGGTTTGTTCTGGTAACATTTGCACATCCAAGATCTCCTTTTGCAAGCGCACATGAATACATTGTGGTGGTGTAAGTTTGTTAATGACAAATTAAGTCACAGTATAAAAATATATTGTACACTTTTACACCTATGTAGTCCTTTTCCTATGGATAAAAAAATACAACTGAATGAGACAGAAGTTTGTAGCACCATGAAGAGTTGTATCCCAAGTGACAGTAGCAGCATGATCCCATATAATGTTGAAGGAGGGTTTCTGAGAAGATAGACATTCATTCTGGTTTGTCTGTACCAACTGAAGCTTATACAAAGAAGTGTCTTATACATTAGCAATAATTCTGTATTATCTGCAGAGCTAGATAACCTATCCAAAGATACTGCCTTCCATTCCTAGGGGCTGCTAACATTGGAGAAAGGCGTACTGGTGATTTGGGTGCTGTTACTGAGGCTGGTAGCATTATCTTGCATACAATTTCAAAGGAGCCCTCTGTAAGTACAATACAGCTTAGGCGTTTATGTAGACAGACCTACAGAATCAAGATATAAGGTGTTATAGACTGGCTGCTGACAGCGTGAATAAAACAAGACAGACTCACTGAGGGATTCATTAGTCAGAAAACCAGTCTGCCTTCACTAAGGACGAATATCAACATTGAAAAGATTTCCTCCAATGTCACATGGATCTCAGTAGGCTAGAAGTAACTTGGGTGAACTGGTATCTTTTAACTTACTTACGGACTGGGAAGACAGTGTGCTTTGAGATACGTAAACCTTGTAAAAAAATAAACCATTGTAAAACCATATGAAAAGACACACACTGATTCTGTGCAATATAGCAAATCGATAAGAAAACACTGTAAAAATGTACCTGTTTAAAATACCATCTACCATTTTTTTTTGTACACAAAGCATTATATATCAAAGGCCTACATATATATCACCTAATGGCACTTGAAACGAATATAATAAGTCTTAAAATAAAAGGCATAACCTATAATAAGAAAGTTTCTGTAGAAGTTTAGGTTCATTTTGAAAGTGCTATATCTTGTAGTACGTGAAGTATAGAGGTTGAGCAAGCTCTATTTTTTGAATTGGCCTATGTGTGTACTGCTCACTAGATGAAAGATCCTGAAATACGTACTCTATAACATTCATTAATAAAGCAATCAGCTCTGGCTCATGTTTCAGTCAGTAAATGGTTTTAAAAAACCGTCACTGTCCAAATTAACACAATATATCACTATATTCCACAAAGGACTAGAAAAATAAAGCACAAGCAACAAATAGGCAAAAACACACAGCTTGAAAGAAATGCCAACTGAAATGAAAAAGTGGCATACAGAATGGTTCGTGAACCACCAGATCCGCCAAGACAACTCAACTTCTAGAAAACTGAACTAGGTAATATGATTTTAAATGAAAGCTTAACAGTGACCAATAACTACACAGGTGGTATTGGTAAATATCAATGGATTATATTGCTTACAGTGCCTCGGTCCTTCCACCATCATGCTCCTGCAGCTGCTGATAAAGTCTGCACACACATGTGGAAGTCAAATTGAATGAGGCTCGGTATCTTGTCTGAGGTCCAAATTTTACACTACACTATTTTAGTTAATGTTAATCCCTTTTCTTTCAGCCAATCTAAGGCACTATCAGAAATTCCAAGGACGACGACTGACCACTAGTGAATGAAAACAGCATTGGCAAGAACTACTCCTAATCATTCCTACGTCAAATAAAAACAAGTGACAGTATTTTCTAGGGGAAAAAGCCAATTCTGTGTTACATCCTTGTTAAAACATTGTGCAATTAAATTAAAAGCTGCCTGATTTTTAATAGAAAATCTATCAAGAAAGGGTTTAGTGACCACTGCAGTCAATTAAAAAACAAAACAAAACAAACAAACAAACAAAAAAAACCCAACCCAACTTGCTGAATTCCCTCTTACTTTGAAGTGTTATTCAAGTCTGTGGGGGCAGCAATAGGCAAAGAGGTGTACATACGAAGAAAATTAAGACTCTACGTTTTAACACTGGTACCCTGGAGGATGTGTCTTAGAGTTCTGTGCAGGGCAAGAATTAGGATAAAGATATATTTATATATATACATATATGGCGCCATTCCCATTTCAAAATTCTTTATTTCATATATCCTGGTACTCCCTTTTTTTCAATTAGCAGTGAAATACAGACTATGAAGGCCAATGTCTCAGGTCATTTAATGTGACTTCTTAGCAAATTTCAGATAGGATAAACTAGTGCTTTCATATGTGGTATTTGTGACCAACCTCTACATAAAAATAGGTTTTCTATTTACTTGTGCTCTGTCACCAAGTTTCTTTTCCTTTCTAAATGGTGATTAAAGCAATATTGAACATTAATCATTCAACTTGATGTTTAGGTAAGCGATCTGTTTCATAGAAACTAAGGAAGCAGTCTTAAGCAGAGTGAAGAGCCCACTTGGAGAATGAGTGTGCTCCCAACCACAGCTCAGGAGCAGCTTGAAGAGTTAGACATGTATTCCTTATTAACATATATCATTTTAATGCCTTTGGAACACTTTTTTAATAAAATGTAATTTTTCATAATAAAAATTTAAATACATAAGTATAAAAACTATTGCTCCAGGGTTAAAACCAGGAGCCAGAGCTCTCCAGAGAGTAACTCTGATTCTACGAAGTGCGCTAGACGTGTGTGTAACATATAATAAAGCCCCATTCACGTGACATTTTACACTTCTCCTCAATTTATACTACTCCCAGGTATTTTAAATAATGCATAATATTCAATAATCTATACTCATGTTTAGAATTATTGGTAAACAACAAATCTGCAATGATAGTTGGCCCCCCAAAAGGGAATGAGTTTCCCCATATAGGGCTAATAAGAGTGCTCAGAAAATCAGGAGTATTTTCTTCTTCCTTTTTTTTTTCCTTTTTTTTTTTTTTTTAAAAAGAGAGATACATACTCTTCTGTAAATTTTCCCCTACTCATGCCCCAACAGAAGGGGGCCTGAAACAAGTGCTTAACAGATCCATCTTGTGGGTTGATGCCACAAGCAATCCTAAGAAAAATTTACACGGAACCTTTGATCAGAGCCCTGGCTGGTGTGAGGAAGCCCATCACGACCATGTCAGTGAGCACCACATCCTTGGTGCTTTCACACTAATTTGGTGTCTGCTTTATTTTACTCTGTTTCCTCTATAAATTCAACTTATTTGTAGCATTCCTCCCATTTCCTAAGACGTGGAAAGGGTTTTTTTTTACTGTTTTGGGTTGTGTAAAACTTTGTGGAAACTCCTCAAGTAGCCTTTTAATGTGTTTAAGTTCTCCATCCAAACACAGCAGGGGAAGATGGATGGGCACTGAGCAAGAGAGCACAGGGGGTAGACTGCTGTTTTACAAGTGGTGGGACAGGCTTTTAGTTTGCCCCCAAAGAGTCCAGTTTTCAGTTCTGGCAACAGTGGAAATTCTCTAGACAAGTTCTGAGGTTTGGCTGTATGTTTTACATCCATCTTCCTGTTGAGGAGTCTATCACCCTGGCAATTGAGGCAGCCTACTCTGGGTTTCACATATTTACTACTGTCCCACAATGGCTCTAAGACTCTGGACTAACTATGGGCCAACATGCAGCATAAGAATGCTGGTATACCGAAGCCATCCTGGGTATGAAAGGTGAAGGATGTAAAACAGAACATTTCTACACTGATCCCAAAGGCTGATATCCCACACTGTTACCATAAGTAAACATGGGGTTGAAATGTGGCAAAACAGCCTAAGGGCCAGTGCTAACACAGAACACCCTGTGACCTCTCTAGGTTTCTTTTAGATACAGATACTGAAACTTTCTCTGTATCTCTCTTTATCATATGCTCATAATATTTTAGCCAGACAATAGCAGTCTTCAAAATATATTGATCTGAAGTGATGGTATATTTAAGAAACCACTATAATCTCCCCAAACTGGATTCTTAGTTCATTTAAAACACTTGATCATGAATCCATTTAGTGGCTAGTAAAAAAATATAAAACACTTCAGTTATTCACACACATGTCATAAGATTTACATTGTACTGCATATTTGAAAAAAATGAGCCAAATGTCCAATGCCCATTGCTATTAGACAAAAATGAAAATTTTAAGGTCTAATAGTAATTTGGACACAGGACTTGTAGAATTTAGTGATAATGGCGCTCCTATATGAAATAAAACTCTGAGACTATGACAACTGGCAGTAAATCAGGAGAAACAGCAAATGTAAATAAAAATGAATGGTTTCAAAGCTTATTGAAGAGGCTAATTCCTATTATTTACTGGCTTCATGAAACCTGGTATTATACAAAAGCAGAAGTTTTTGTATTGTCTTAAAGTAGGCACTAAAATAAAAATGGTCTTCGAAGGTGGGGCTACACACACACCTCCCTATCAAACCCGTGGCCCAGACCCTACTGAAATGCCTGGTGGAAACGGGGCAGGGTGGTGCTTGTGCTTAGGCTGCTGGTGAAAGCTGCTGAGAGCGAGTGCAGAGAACCAAGACCCACAGTGTTCGCAGGATCCTGGAGATCCTGTGCTTGTGTGGGCAGCTGAGAAACAGAAGAATGTGCTTCATCTTGGGAATAGCTCATCCCAAGGCTCCCCACTGAAAGGGGATTATAAGGAGGACCATTTAATGGTATGAAATTGAACAACTGAGAAAAATCCAATGCTGGTGTCTTCAGGCTGTCACTGATAGAAATAGAGCTCTTTGACAGGGAGAGGTCACCTGCACCATCATCTAGGGACCCACTCTGAGGATCTAACCCTAACTTAGATGATGATGCTTGAGAATCCTGGGATGAAGAGGGTGCACCACCTTGTAATTCCATCAGATAACTCTCAATTTCCCCCTTTAATGGCTGGTCTTTTTCAGGAATCGAGATTGCATATGAGGTAGAACTGAATGGGCATTTGAAAGCAAGATGGTGAGAGGGGTGGACAGCATCCATATCTATGGGGCATGTCATTCCCAAAGGTAAAGTTGTGATCATTTGGTGAGCAGACCCAGAGCTCTGCATGGACTGAAATGGAGTGTTGTAGAGGTTTAACTGTAACGTGTTTGTGAATGGCTTTGACAAGAGTTCACTGGAAGGTAAGGACATCACCGGCAGGAGTTCATCCTTTATAGGCACAGACATGTTACAGGTAAATGGGTCCAGGAAATCTACTGGTTCAGTTTTAACCTTCAGAAGCTCTTGATTGTGACTCTTCTTCATATGTCGAGTGAGGTGATCCTTTCTCCCAAATCTCTGTGCACAGTACTGACAGAGGAAGTCCTTTCTTCCTGTGTGCACCACCATGTGTCTCCGGACATCCTTCCGGGTGTAGAACCTGCGCTCGCAGTGCTCACACTGGTGCTTTTTCTCCTTCACGCCCCCGGATGACTTGCCTGCATGAGATTTCAGGTGCTCCAGGAGCACACCTGTGCTTTCAAAAGTCTGCAAACACACCTTGCAGGTGAGGTCACCACTGGTTGCAGCATGCAAGGCCAAATGTCGCTTAAAGCCAAGCTTGGTGTTGTAGCTCTTGCCACACTCTTCGCATTTAAAGGTCTCTTTGTTGGGGTCGTGTGTATGCAGGTGATTCTTCAAATGGTCTTTCCGGTGAAACATTTTCTCACAATAATTACACTTGTGGGTTTTCTCAGGAGAGTGAGTAGCCATGTGCCTTTAAACATAGATATATTCTGTGAGTGGTCATCTTAGCAGAAAGGTACATAGTCACTTTTCAAACGGGAAGCTAAACTACTAATGCTAACACACAGCTCTCTTAGTAAAGGGTCTACCTAACTAACACACACCACAGCATAGTTAACACACTGCAAAACTTGAGCCATCTAAGTTGCCACTTCAGTGTTGACTGGTTTTTAGCTCTCACTACAAAAGTAAACAAGCAAGACTGAACACATTCATGTAATGTCCACACCCTTTTCATGTAGAAATTTCTCTTTACAAATGGAAATTCTACTCTCATTAAGCATTTACTTTAGAAAAAAATCCAGACACTAACATAGACGTATGTGATTTAGAGTACTTCAAGCTAGCCAATGTCTAATCTACTTAACATTTCCTGTCTGCAAATCAGCCGAGCAATGTGTATACAGATACACACACTTACAATGGCTTCAGATGGCCAACACAAGAGAAAGTATAATCTGAAAGACAAATAGAGTGTAGTACCTTTGTAATTTGTACTTAGAAACAAAGGCCTTGGTGCAGTCTTGTTGTGTGCACTTGTAGGGCCTCTCTCCTGTGTGAGAGTAGGAGTGAACCTTTAATTTCTCAACACTGTTAAAGGCCTTGTCACACAGTTGGCAAGGGAAGTTTTTTCTTGGTTTGGTTTCACCACGCTTACGTTTCCCTGAAGGGGCTTTCTGGGTATCTCTTACTTCTGACAAATCACCAGGAATGACAGTGGCCATCGCAGCCTAAACCAGGCCTTCTTGTTGGACACCTGGGAACTGCCCAACTCCACTAAGTGATATAGCTTTAGGTGGCTTCTCAAGTTTCATGTGGTCGTAAAAGAAAGCAAAAAGGGACTGGAAAAAAAAAATAAGAAACAACTAGTTTGTAACTAAACTCAATTAAAAATTATTTGCTTTGTGATGTTTTTGAATTAAAAAAGAAACCATAAAATGGATTCAGCTGGTCCAATGTAATATCTGTAGGTTTCTTTGTATTTTCCAAAACAGATAGATATAAATACATTGCTCAGAATGAACAGTTCATACATACCCTGAAGTTGCACCTGACAAATGCTGGACTTAGGCAGAACAGTAGTGAACTCAGGAACACTCAGAGCATGACTCTAAAGGTGGCATCAGAAACTTCAGTTTTCAGAAGGGATTAGAAAACACATCTACAGATCAACAGCCACTGCACTCTGAGCACATCACTCTATGCACATGGGTTACATGAACACATAAGCACTTGGAGCACTTGGCACTTTGCAAACCACTGAGTCCATGGGTAAAGCACATGAAACCCAAATACTATAGGGAAGAGTTAAAAGCACCACCCTGAGTGAAAACTGACCCTTTAAACCAGTGTTAGAATATTCTAAGGAGTGTCTGAGTCAAGGGCAGAAATGATTTATCTTCATAACAAACATCATCGAAATAGTAAAGCCTTTTGATATGACCTGAGGTGAAAACTGCACATCTTTGTCTTTTGGGGAAGTATGGTTAGTTTCCCTCAACTGTCTCTACATCATAGAGAAGATTAGTCTTACTGGGTGCGCTGATATTAATAATAAGCCAGAGCCATTACGCCTCCAAAGAGCTGAAGCAATCAGCCTTAGACACAACTGAACCCGAGTGTGGTACACCTGTTGAGAGTTCTCAGTGTACAACATCTGTACAAGAATGCATCATCACAGAGGTGTTTCACCCTGAGTTTCAATTCATGATCAGTGGTGAGAAAAAATGACATATACGTGTGCAACGAAGAGAAGTATGTCCTCAAGTTTAAACAAAGTAATTAAAACTAAATAGAAACTTCCATAGATAAGAAATAGTTCATGTAGTTAACTCTATTTCTCAGAGTAGGAAAATCAACTCCTCAAAGACTTTACTGCTGTGTAAGTTAAATCAGTGGTTCTCAACCTTCCTAATGCTGCAACCCTTTAATACAGTTCCTCATGTTGTGGTGACCCCAACCATAAAATCATTTTGTTACTACTTTATAATTTTGCTACTTCTGTGAATCATAATGTGAACATCTGATATGGGACACTTGTGGGGTCATGACCCACAGGTTGAGAACCACTGAGTTAAATGTTTCCTCAAGGTTTCTTAAGGTAATTAGAGGGGTTCTTCCAAGAGACCACAAAAATGGTAGCACCTGGAATGTCTTTTAAAAGAATCTGATTATTATCAATAGTTAAATGAGTTTGCCATCCTCTTGTATATTTTAAAGGGAGGAAGCAACTTCCTTATTTCGTCTGTTTTGGTAGTAGAGTGACATATGCCTCTTTACAAAATTTGGTGTGGTACACTCACTTTCACAGATTCCTGTTAGATTTTATTTTTTTTAGGAATTCAAAACACCTATGTTTTTGTTAACACTTAAGTATGTCACATCTTTTTGTACTTTAGCATAGAGGCTGTCCCTGAGCCACTATTTTGATTAAAGCAATACAGCATTCAAGAAAGCTCGGCACATACAGTTTCTTCTTTGTAAGACAGATGCAGGCCTTTGCATTGCGCTAAGTATTAGCAAGTTCCTCTTTGCAGTTTACAAATGATATTAATATGATGCAACCAGTATCACAGTGCTGATGCTGCTGTTAGCTCTAATATTATGACACTGATGCAGCTGTTAGCTCTGACATCATAGCATTGATGCAGCTGTTAGCTCTGACAGCACTGATATAGCTGTTAGCTCTGACATCACAGCATGGTTGCAGCTGTTAGCTCTGGTATCATAGCATGGTTGCAGCTATTATCTCTGACATCATAGCACTGATGCAGCTGTTAGCACTGATGCAGCTGTTAACTCTGACATCATAGCACTGATGCATTGTTAGTGCTGACATCACAGCACTGATGCAGCTGTTAGTGCTGACATCACAGCACTGATGCAACTGTTAGCACTGGCATCACAACACTGATGCAGCTATTAACTCTGACATCATAGCACTGATGCATTGTTAGTGCTGATATCACAGCACTGATGCAGCTGTTAGCTCTGACATCATAGCACTGATGTAGTTGCTAGCTCTGGTATCACTGATGCAGCTGTTAGCTCTGATAGCATGGCACTGATGCAGCTGTTAGCTCTGGTATCACAGCACGATTGCAGCTGTTAGCTCTGACATCATAGCACTGATGCATTGTTAGTGCTGACATCACAGCACTGATGCAGCTGTTAGCTCTGGTACCAAAGCACTGATGAAGCTATTAGCTATGGCTGTGGATTTTCTGAAGCTCAAAGACTTGTTCCTTTCCTGTTACGAGCTCATTCAATGGATAGGTGCTTTGCCTCCCTCCATGTTAGAGGTAAATAGCTACTCTGCAGACCAGTAATGACAGTAAATTAGAATAAAGCTTTAATTTTCACTGTGATTTCCTCACTTGATGCTTTCATAGACCTATTCAGACTATGAACAAGTCAATCATTTTCCAACTGCAGAATCGAAAGGGAATGCAAGGTGTCTACACAACTAGGTCTGAAAAACTGACCATAATCACCACTGTAACATTACTGCTGTGATGCTGAGAATTCCAGAAGAGAAAAGCAACTTTATTGTAACCCTCCCTGCCAAAACCTTAAGGGCACCACGAAGCAACACACAAGTATTTGATCAGATTACACTGGTGATACTCAATATGAAGTAACAAATGGATGTTTCTGTATGTACATACTGAGCAATGAGGAAGTGCACTGATACCAAATATTACACTTTACTAAGACCAGCTGAAATTTTTCATGGCTGATAATGCTTTTATATTATATCATATTATATTATATGTAATTCATTATGAAATTCAAATTACTTATCATTGGTACATTTAAAATTTTAGGACAAATACGAATATAAAGTTGTAAACTTAATATCGAATAAAGATTATATTCATAATATGTTTATCAACCAAATACTTTAAAGGCACATGCATAGAACTAGTGATTTTTGTTTAATGCATACCTGATTAAGGATGGGAAAAGCCTCAGATTTTGATCTTAGCCAGTTCCATTAACTCTTCGTGGAAGAGAGCAGAATCCAGCCCTTCCCATTTTGGCCAATCTATGAAGAAGTAAAAACAGAATGGATTATAGTATAAATGAAACTAGAGTGTAAATGACAGAAAATAAAGCATAAACGAACTGCGATCTCATAGCGCATGCTACATTCCACTCTGTTGATGAGTCGTGCATTAATTGCCACCAACTGCTTGTTTTGATTAGTTGTAAGCACATTTTACATGACCAAATAAATGCACAAATAAAAAAAGAAAAATAGTATTACCTAGAAATAGTGCCAATTTCTGATGCTGAATGATTCCCCACTTGTTAATAAAAAAGAAAACTAAGAGAAATGGCTATTAGAGTTACTGACTAAATGAAATTGGTGATTATTAAGCTTAATATAATGGAAGACACAAACTTGGTTTCCTCCAGGAGAGAGCCTCTGGAAACCCGATCTTAGCACTGCCACCCACACTGCCCATGCTTGTGACTGGACTACTTGCAGAAGTGCCAATTTAAACTAAAGAATGGGGTAAGGATGCCTGGAATGTAGAAACCATTCTGCTGTTCAGATTCCAGGTACATGTGAGGGAAGTTAAATACAGGTTTGCTACAAGATGCAGGTATCAAGGAAAAGGTGTATTTGCTGCATGAGACCATTGTTGAAAAACCTTAAGATATCTTAAAGATGTCTATTAGTAGCAAGGTCTTTAGCAGACTGACAGCATACCTACAAACTGTGTTAATATTTATGAATGAAAGAAAAGGCAAGAATAACAATAGTATAAAGTAAAAAAGACCTATTAATTATTACAAAGAATACAAGGCAAACGGTGGTTAGTAAGCTGTAATTATTTTTAATTAAGTACTCAGAAGTATTAATTAGAAGAACTTGAGAGATATAATAAAAATCAAATACTTAAAAATCAGTAACAAAAGGATATGTCAATGACAGGTTAGGATAAAAAACTTTTAAAGTTGTATAACAATCTATTAATATTTCTTAAAATAAAATTCTCACACACTTTCAGAATTTGATGATATGTAAAGATGACATACAAAGAAATTATTTAATAGAGGACAATCAAGCATCATTACAAAATTACTAAGGGTATATAAGAAACCAGTATTATTCTAGACAAATAAATGTATCTTTAAAAGCTCAAGCAAAAGCTCCATTTTTATAAAGCATAGGACATGCATAATTGGAAGAACATAAAAATTGCAAAATTAGTTTTGTCAATACTTACTTGATCAGGACACACATTGAATATTTGGTGGGCAATTATGAATATAAAAGATCATTTTATGTTCTTTTATCTGAATAATATACTTTATAGAGTATTTTCATCTTTATCCTGCCCCTGAAGTCAATGACCCAAGATGGTTGCATGTTATCACCACTGCTACTGAACTATGTGATGGTGTCTGTGTGGACAAGATGGGATTTATGTCCCCAGACTGCTATTTCATTTACATTCTACTGTGATCTATGATAGGGCATGTTAGCAAGGCAACTTGCATGTGGATAAATCCTGTCATTACCCTTCAGAGTTCAGAAAAAGGATCAGTGCTATCTTTTTTCTATGAGAACTGCCAAAGAAAATCTCCAAAAGGAAGCAAGAATTAAGAAAAAAAGTTTAAAAGACAATTTGCAAGGTAATTTTTTAAATAATTAATTGTTAAAATAATGAGCAATTCTGAGTGCATGATTTGAGTAGAATCGAATCTAAAACCAAAGTTATACTAACAAATAATAAAATTGTGTATTTTTGTTATAAATATTACTGCCTTCTAAACATACTCATAAAATTCTAGCTATGTTTAACCATAGAGTAGCATTTTATACCAGAAATGCTATAGTAGCAAGTATTTCAAACAGTCCACAAATATAACTGTCTACAAATTATCCCACTGTACATCTTATAAGCAGAAATAAAATTGTAAAGAAAGCCACCATGTTAATTTAGCTTATCTTAAAATATAACTCCTAAATTGTAGTTAATTTCTCTAAATTTTACCCTACTTTGAATTTTTATTAGTTGCCAAATACTTTCAAAGAACTGTCCATTATTTCCCCAAATGATGGAAATCAGGAGTTGATTAGAACTATTTGGACTGACAGAATAAACATAAAAAATAAATACAGCTTATATTTATGTACTCCTAACTAAATTGTTAACTAAACTTATTTGAGTGTTCTCTTTTATGGACCCAAGGGGGGGAAAAGCAGTATTATTACTGCTCTAAAAAGTCTGTAACCAGAAAACTTAAATTTGTGGTTTTCTTTTCTAGTTAAAATAATTTATCAGAGATTGGTTACATTATTTGAAGTGATGCATTCCTTTTTGCCTTTGTCCGAGGAATTGCAAAAGAAGGTGGAGAATACATATACCCATGCTACACTGCCCTACAGTGAACCATTTCAGAACACACTCCCTGCTTTGGATGGTGCCCAAGCAGACACACCTCCTCTACCCCTACTCCAAAAGCAATGCTGCATTCAATAGTAGCAGTTAGGGGAAAGCTTACATGCTTGAGCACAAAGGTTCATCTTCTTATGTTTTATTTTATTCTTAGGAAATACTGGCTCATGAAGAAATAACGGGCAGACAAATCACACATCAGAGGGTTTACTGAAATTGATTTTTATGGGATGCTGAAACCCGAGAGTTGCTCTGTTAACAGTTACAAAGCTTGAGCGACACTTACCTGCATTAATAATTTTTCATTTTAAAGTCAGATTTTGCTAAGAGCGGATGCTATTAGTCATCAAAGCTGTGCTCTCACTTATACTAATCATAACAAACCATTAGTTCACAATTCAGAAAGATGTCAACATGTGCTTAACACATTTTCTATAGAGAATAAGTAGGGTAGATCACAGAAGGAAACTCAGCAGTGATAATAGTTTATATGTATGCAACACTAATAAAACATTGAATAAGAAGAAGGAGCTGAACTAGATCACATAGCTGAATACAACTTTGAAGGAGGTATACAACCGTATTTGGAGCATTGCTTTAAAATGTCATTAATCCTATATAACTTGGAAATTCTTATCAGTCAGCTCTCAGTCTATAGAGTCCCTTGTAGTGAAGAATAAAAAGTATCTTGCAATTACAAAAACTTAAGAAAGGGTAAAGGAGTGAGTATAATCAAAATGCATTCTATACATATATTATAAACTGTCAAAAATTTAAATTATAAAGAGAAAACAAATGCAAAAATCAAACAAACAAAAAAGACCTTCAGAGAATGAACAATCAACTGTAGGCAGCTCAGGGCAGGGTCAGGCCAGTTTTACTCACTGCTGTTCCCATAAATGACAGTAAAGTAACTGTTGAATGAACAAGAAAAATTAAAACAGGGTAAGTGCTTACCACTGACATAACAACCCACAGACTTGCTCATCATCATAGCAGACAGAAGACAGTAAATACATAGTCCAGTCCAAGATAAATACTAGCACTTATAATAACTGAAAACCTGTTCAAAACATTCGTTTGCCAGCATGCTCTGCCTGATGCTATTCTTACAGAATTAACTGCCATGAGTAGACAGCATCAATCCAGCCTCACACTTAGTAAAAATTCCTAAAGTGGAAACATGCTGGGTACCTGTGCTACCTGGCCTGAAGCAGGAAAGAGGGTCAGACACATGGGTGGGGTTAATTATATCTACAGGGAACAGAGGAGCAGAAAGCCCACTGCAAAGCAGAAAGCACAGCCAAGATATGTACTTATTAACTCACCTGAATTTTAGGTTCTCAAGAATTCAGTACTGAGACTTAGACAAAATCACAGTATTTAATTAAGGATCCCTTTTGAATATTTTCTACATTTGACTTTTTCTATTTGAGTAATTTGCTAAAATGTAGTTCTATCATAATCATTTTCAACTTTATCACAAAATTAGCCCTAATTATATCTAGAAGTATCTTATATTAAAATAGAGCAAAAACTTAGAAGTGAAAGAAATGGCTTATCTTTTTGTTTTTTGCTTGCCCACCCCCCCCCCTTTTTCCCCCCTTGAGACAGGGTTTCTCTGTGGCTTTGGAGGCTGTCCTGGAACTCGCTCTTGTAGACCAGGCTGGTCTCATCCACTATTTTTTTGTTTTTTTAAGGACAAGTAGGGAAATGTCCACAGATTTCAAACTTGGCACACCCTACCCCCACCAAGTTCCCAGAAACTCTACCACTAGTCTTCAATGCTTGCTTTCGGCTCACACATGCTCCAGAGGGCCCACACAGAACACCAGCCGCCCAGGAACATGGGCAAATCAAACAAATGTGATTTTCCAATGCACAAAACTTGCTTTGGTTATTTATATTATAGAGCAAAAAGATCAGTGAGTTTAAGAGGATTAATGGGCTGTAACTTAGGAGTCAGCACGTGTATATTACGTGTATGGGAGATGCTCTTTATGAAAACGAAAAGCAAGACACACAGAGCACACTAGGCATCTATCTTTGTGTAAAAAAACTGGGACTTGCAAACAGGAAACAAAAGAGGAACTGTGAAAGAGGAAGTGATAATGACAAGCAGGAGGAGCATATAACTGCAATGTAACAATGCAAAGTAAGTGTTCAATCAATACTAGTAACTATCTTTAGAGGATTTTTTGGGCGTCTAAAAATACATAAAACATTTCCATATTTGCCATGCAGCTACACTAGAAAGGAGGTGGCCCACAGGTCACTTTCCTGATGTGATGAACTCATAACGACCATTAACTGTATAAGTTGCTGAGGTGGGTACTGATAGAATACCATAACACATTTACATCCTTAAACACTCAGAGTACGCCTCTAGAGTGAGTAGTTACCTAATGCAATTCAAATCTCAGAAACAGAGTCCAGGTTTCATATCTGAACTCTCAGACTCTCACACCAAATATGTAGATAAGCTCAGGAAAAGGTGGTAATCAGATGGAATGGAAGAAAAGTGCTAAGTAAAATCTTAGTTTCAAAAGTTCATGTGGAAAATCAGTTTTAAGGTATGTAAAAGTAGCATACATTCTAGGTGTAGGCCTGTGCAGTATGAGAAGGTATAGCAACTGCCCAACCTGCATGCTGATACAGGAAACATGCATAGACATAGAATCCAGTCCTCAGGGAAGGCTCTGCACCTGCCATTAAGCTTTCCACCCTGTGCCACACTGTGCTAACTGTCAAGGTTAAAATCACATCTAGAAACAAGACTTCTTTTACTTACACATCTCTGAGGTAAACAGGATTAGTTTTAGGCAACATTGTCAAGAGACCTGATAGTTGTATTCCTTGACCAATCACAATATGGATGAGCTTGAAAACCACCTTTATGACTGAATCCTTTACTGCAGAGGCTCAACGGTTATTTTTGTACCCTCAGCACCTAGCCAGTGCTGCCACTCAGTAGCCACCTGCTAAACTTTATTTATTTATTTGTTTGCTTGTTTGTGTGACAGGGTTTCTCTATGTAATAGTCTTGGCTGTCCTGTTTGTAGACCACGCTGGCCTCCAACTTACAGAGATCTGAGTGCTAGGAGGCATGTGCTGCTACTGCCTGGCTCTATCTGGTAAACATTTGTTAAGAAGAACTGTAGTCCCTGGTAATGGGGTTTCAAGACTCAAAACAATTGGGGAAATATGTTGTGAGCTCTGGAAACCTCAACCAGCTGTAAAGCACCACCAGAGAAAACCTAATGCAGTTAAATGGTTAGTGTGGTCTGGCGGAAGGGTGAGCTTGATGTGCCCAGGATGACCAATCCAAGGATGGCCACTGGCCATCAGGGAGCCATACTGCTTCTGCAATCCAGCAGGTGGCCCAGAGAGTTAAGAAACCAGGGGACTCAGGCACATGCTACCCAGACCAGACAGGCTTGAGACAAAATGGTGGGCATTCCAGACATAGTCCTTACATGTTCTGCCTGAATAACCCCATAAGGACACGTGCCCTGTACTGATCAAAATGCATTGTTTGGAAATAAATGTTATGGAAGGAAAAATCATTTAAAGCAAAATTCTAAACCCTTTAAAGAGAGTATTCTTGATGTAAGGTTAAGATATGAGGACGACACTGAAAATAATCAGAGAAAAAAAATTAACTGATTACAGTACAGGAAAGTAAAAAAAAAAATGTAAAATTTGTGTAAATAGAGTGTGATTCAGAAAAGAAGTATTTTTCCTTTCTCTAGCTACTGTAAGTAGCTCCATACTAATTGGACTCAATGGGTCCAATAACAGATAATTCCAAAACGAGAACATGAGGTAGGGAAGGAGATGTGATTCAAAGTCCTAAGGGGAACTGGAACTGGGGGTGACAGGTGATGTGGTACATTCGGTACATGTACGAAATTTAAAAAAAACAAATAAAAACTAAACAGCCCTATCATTATCAATAAAAACTACGTTCATTAATAACAGTTTAAAAGATAAGCTCACAAACTAAAACAATTACTAAGAACTTTATTAAAAATATCTGCAGTATAGAGTTGGCTAAAATTTTATGCTAACTCAGTTTTAAGTGTTTATTCTTCAAAGAATGTTGTATTTACTAAGGTGAGTTTATGCCCCTTCAATTTGATTATAGACTGTTTTCATGTTTCTGAGAGGCTCTGTTTAGCTCTCAGTCCTAAGCCTAGCTTCCCCAAGGGGTGCATTGGCCATAGATGACCAGCTTAGGCCTTTGAGCCTGCTGAGTAACCACTTTTGCTTTTCCAGGCTCCTTATCCTGGAGTTCTGGGGTCCCAGCCTCTAAACACCAGCCTTGTGCTTAAGGTCCTGCTGACAGACTTACCTGGCTCAAATCCATTTGTGCTTGGGTTTCCAAATATTGCTAACCCCCGATTGTGTGCCACCAAGTTATACTATAGTTGGGAAATGTAGATGTTTTTATCTGTTCTCTTCCCAACAATGGTAGGAAGCTGCTCTGGTCACACTGGCCCTGTACTCTAGCATCTGCTGCATTCCAGGGGCAGACCTATCTGCTTCTCCACCTACCTCAGCAGATGGAACACACAGGGGTTCTGTGGGGTACTTTACCCATCTGTGGGCTCTCTGAGAGGAGAAAACATATACACTGCACAGAAGCTATGCATTCTGAAGCAAGAAAGCTGTTCTTTGCCTTGTACTGAACACAGGTTTACTGAAGTCATGCAGATCACAGTGTATACTGTGAGCCCTAAGATCCTAAGTGGCATGCTTATTATGTGGCATGCTTTTCAAAGATTTTCTATTATAGCTTACATAATTAAGGATTGGGAATAACTGCTCACTTTGAAAATCATGCCATATAATGATAAAAGCCACCTACCTGAGGCCCTGTTCCAAACTCTAGCAAGGCCACCTTATTAATAGACCATCACAGAATGAAGCATTCTGGGTGCCCAATCCCACCAAGGCAGCACGAGAGGCAACCTAGGAAGAAAAGAAGAATTAGTTTGAAATTCCAAATGTCAGCCTCAATCTGCTTAACGGCACACGGACCAGATTATTTTTCACTCATTATCACTTATTCTTCGTATTTGGTTGTGGGGGAGGATCAGTCTTAAATCCTGCTGGAGGCAGTGAGAAACAAAATATAATATATTGGAAAGTGAAAAGTAAATAAATAAGTATCTACAACTTATATATTTCCCTTTGAACCACAGTTATCCAGAATATTTATATTTCATTTAGTTATATAAGTTTGATGGTGTTTTTCAAATTGATCATTTATTTATTTTCTTTTTATATTCTAAACACATTGCTCTTCACCATAACATTGTCATGCTTTTCTTTCCTTTTTTTTTTTAAGATCTAAGAGGTCAATTTTTAAAAAAGTTTTTATTTATTTATTTATTATGTATACAATGTTCTGCCTCCAAGTATGCCTGCAGGCTGGAAGAGGGCACCAGATCTCATTATAGATGGCTGTAAGCCACCATGTGGTTGCTGGGAATTGAACTCAGGACCTCTGGAAGAGCAGTTAGTGCTCTTAACCTCTGAGCCATCTCTCCAGCCTGTCATGCTTTCCTTGTTCTGAGCAAAGACTACGAAGAATCATGTCCTGTGAGTGATCTCACAATGGGTACGAACTGCTGACAGCCAATGGTGGAGGCAGAACAGGGACACATGCTCCTTCTCAACACATCTCCAGACTAGTATGTGTTTTAAGGGAGTTGCTCGGGCCGGACCCACCTTCAACAATATAGGAAGAAAAATCAAAATGTGTTCTCAAGTGTACCATATATACAGTCAGCCTTGGAATCCCAGGGTTGCAAATCATGAAGACAGACAAGACCTCTAGGAGTATAATCAAGATTCTTGGGAAGCAGAGGCAGGCAGGTCTCTGGGAGTTTGAGGCCAGTCTGATCTACAGAATGAGTTCCAGGATAGCAAGGATTGTTACACAGAGAAAGCCTGTCTCAAAAAACTAAAGAATCAAAACACACACACACACACACACACACACACACACACACACACCAAAAAACCCCAAACAAACAAAACACCAGAAAAGAAAAAAGACATTAGGAGGTATTTCCTCATGAAAATATATATAACTGGGCCTGGAGAGATGAATCAGTCATGAAGAGCACTTTTTGCTCTTGCAAAGACTGTAAGTCTGGCTACCAGCACCCACACAACTGTCTGTAACTCCAGCTCTGGGAGATCTTGTGCCCTCTTCTGACCCCTGTGGTCACTGCACTCACATGCATATAACTATCCATAAATAAACACATATACAGATAATTGAAAATAAAATATTATTTTTTAAAAAGGAAAAATATACAGATGGCAAAAACTAACCCGACATGAGTAGCTGTTTGGCATCACTGGCTATTGGGGAAATGCAAATTAACAGCGGTGAGATCATTCCATGGGTCATAAGTGGCTGACTGTGTTTGGCAGCTATTGTGCAACAGGCCTCTATGAAATTGTATCACACAGTGGGCACACCCATAATGAAAAGAAGGTAACA